ATTATTCATATATTATTAATGTTTCTTCACCAATAATTATATTTTTGAACCGATTTTGATAATCATTTATTCAATGCATAGAGTGTTTTTTTATATACAACTTTGAATGACATGTTATATTCTTTAAGTGATGCAAAAAAAGAGTAAATTAATTAAATTTAATTATTAAATAACCGCTATTCTGGTAATACAACATAATATACGAGAATTTTAATATAAAATAATAATACCATCAATAGTGTAAGGTTTGTATAACCTAACTCGATATTAATGTCTCTCACTGAGCCACCAACTAATTGAAAATGAGTTATGAAACTTCGTAATTACATACATATGTATGTATATCCAATTGTATGTAGTTGGGAGCGTTTCATAATTTATTGAAGACTTGGAACTAGTTTGGAACTCGATCCTATTGTTTTGTTTTGTGGATAGCTACTTGAGGCTATTGTATCTAAATGTATTGTTTATATATTTAGGATGATTATTATATATATTTATATATGAGATTAAGCATATATGTAATATCTAAACACTCACTTAAATGGAATATTAAATTAACATATATAATACATATGTGAATAGAACTAGCAAACTTGAAGGATAAACTACTAGTGAATTAATGTGATGGGACTTTACACATAGCTCAAACAACCTACGACTCCTAAATAAAACCTTGTTTCCTATTATGTTAATACGAAAATATATAAATACGAAAGTCTATAAGAATGAATGGACATTTGTTATTCTTTCACGCAAAAACCACTAAATTAATTTTATTGAAATTTGATACAAAAGTAGGTTTTTATTTATTTTATTTATTTATTATTAATAAACTACATTACAAAAAAGTCTGGTTTTTATACCGTCTTTTAAGACGGACTTAATGCTATATAGCATTCTCTCGCAGTCAACCTTTGGCAAATCAGAAATATAATTATGCAGTAAAAAAATTGATAATTTTTGCAGATAAAAAAATACACGTACGTATCGATAGGTTTACTGCATTGATTGATGCAGGCGGAGTTTCCAGATACAGCTAGTGTTCTTATACAGCGACACTGTATATGAAATCATAATATAGCACGACCTGCCACTAGATTGTGCGACGATTTCAAGGGACTAATGGATGCATATGACTCAAGATCCTTATAGCAGTCTAGGAGAGCTGTCTATATTCTGTATTAAGAAATGTACATGAACTTAAAGTGATATTATACGAGTAATATCTAAATTTATATGCACACATACAATTGAATGCCTCATACACACACACACACACACACACACACGCACATGCACACACACACGCACGCACGCACGCACGCACGTACGCACGCACGCACGCAGCGCGCGCTCACGCACACACACACAAACTCATACATACATACATAAACTATTATAAATTTTTATACATATTTATATTAAAATTATAATATATATAATATAATATACATTCAAACACTGTAGTGGAAATATCAAAAATTCAAAATCATTGTAAAAGTGTATATAATTTAGTAGGTTCCCCAGATACAGGCTCGACCTATATGGGGGTCTTAGTTAAGCAATTCTGTAAGTTAGTGTTTTGAATGAAGATTATTATTATTATATACACAGATATTTAGTTCCATCCACTTTTATAACTAAATTTCATATATACATGGTCGATATTTCTGCTATATGATCATGAATTCGTAACAGGTAAATCTAAGGCCTCCTCGGTATTTATATTTGTCCACTACGCATTGTGATAAATGTTTCGACATCCTTTGATCCGTTACACTCTTTCCACATTCCCCAATCAACACACCAACAGACACGTCACTATAGAATATAACACCCTTTTTCCATTTTTACGCCGATAATATTTGTACTTTTTGTTTTCTGCTTTACTCTTCAAAAAAAAGGGTAAAGAGGTTTTTTCAGAGTCGGCAATGCGCCTGTAAATATAGGCTACCGTAACTGCTTGCCATCAGGAAAGCAGTATACTCGTTTCCAGCCTCAATGTTATAAAAAAAATTAAAAAAATAATGGATAAAAATAATTTAAGATTTTGTTCCACAAACTTCTATGGTAGCTAAACCAGTTACTTTGATTTAAAAGATGAATTACTAAGCCAACTTTGATAAATCCAATCCAATTTTTCAAATCGGTTTATAACTGATGATATAAAAAGATAACAAACATAAAAAAAAATACTAGCAAATTGAAAACCTCCTCCTTTTTTGAAGTCGGCTAAAGAAAAACAAATATTTATATTAATCTGTCATAAGATCGTTCTCATTTATTTCTAAACTAAAATTTATATTATAAAATATGTTACTAAATTAAAAACACGTTACAAGCATTTTAAACTGTTGATTTAAATATAATTTCTCAACCGTCTTCAAAAACAAGATTCTCAGTTCAACTGCATTATTTTTATTTTTTTATTGCATATATTATGCATTCTATATGTTTACCAATTATAACTCATTATTGAATAATTTTTGTTTTTGTAAATCCTCAATTTGAAATAACCAATAATCTGATCAAAAGACAAGTATATGTTAGTTACCAGAGGGAGACTTTGTACAAAAGTCGATTGCTTGGGTGCCTCTGTCCCATTCGTGTTTCAACCGTGAAGCAGTTGTGTTTGCATGGCTGTGTTTCGGTTTGAAGGGTGGGATATGGCGTGAATTTACAGGGTACAGAGGAATAACACCTGAGTCCTCAGGAATGGCAACGCAAGGGGGTATCATGGGCGAAACAGTATACTCTGTCATGTCCATGGTACTGCTCATGTCTATAGGCGACGGTTACCACCTTCCATCAGGTGGGCCGTCAGCTCGTTTGCCATTCTAAATTGTATAAAAAATAATAGATTTAATAACCTGTCAGAAAATAATTTCATGATAACTTATTATTCTGTATCACCTCAAAGAAATATAATTGATTCTAGCTAAAACCCTAAAAGTGATATTTTATTAAAATAATAAAGAAAAAAAAAAAACAAAGTAATTCGTATTACATCTTGTTTTCTATTATCTATTTTACTAATTTACATCTGAAGCTTCTTCCGAGAAACCAAGGCATATTAATAGACCGGAATAAAATGTCACTTATTACAAATAGTTGGGCCGTCCTTCTGTTCACTAACTTAACTACAAGAGATAACAAACTCACTTCCATATATATTTATTTATTTATTTACTCTTTATTGTACCACTTAAAGAATAATACGAAGATACATACGTATTACGCTTGTGAAATACAAAAGACACAGCATTTATCATGTTACTTATTAATTTTGTAATAAATAATGTAACATTATTTACTTATCAAGATGTACACTCGATAATTATGTTACCAAAGTCCATATAATCTTAATAATTATTGCGCTAACAAATTGTTATATTCCCAAGATTTAAATATTGTATAAGAAGTAACTCTCACCATACAACTTGCTTAGGTAAACATTTCAGAACAAAGCATACCAGTTGCATTACACCGAACAAAGCAATGCACTAGCGCTGACCGCAAATTCTTTAAATATTCATTCTAATTCACCAGTTGTTCTAGATAAGTAATAATTACATAAGCTATTGTTCTTGTCGTAGTAAAAAAAATATAACTGGCTGGACACAAACATTAAACCATAGAGCGAATCACGTTATTCAAGAGTCGCCACTGCTCTTTTATTAACGGAATTGATAAATGAATCTATGTAGCCATCGCCACGCGTGAAGATAATAAATTAATATTCATAATTTTGTGCAACTATTTCGAATATAGTTGTGTCCAAAACATTAGTAGATATAATAGAAAACGCAGGTGCTTTATAGAATAAAATTTTCAGTTCAATGAATTGCTTGCAAAGATTTGAATTTGACTGACTCGGGCCTGGTGTAAACGTAAATAAAGAAAATCTGACCTAAAATGTCACAGTCGATATTTTTTTTACCTTGAAAAGACTAATAAATAAAGTGAATTAGACGCTGTTATTTCTATTGAAAAGTTTACTCCATTCTATACGAGTTATAACAAAATTACATTCAGTTTTTTTTACGGAAAAGTTAAATTATTTTACCTGCTCCCACAAAATACAACTGAAAGTTAACTACAATTTTTATTTAAATTGATCCATTTGCCCCATTTGTGTATTGTTATTCACTATTCTATTGTATGATTATGTATTACTTTATATATGTTGATTACAATGAAATAGTTTGAATTAGAAACTGGCAAACTTTAAAATACAATTTTTCCATTATCTTTTTATTACTATGACTTATATTAATTAAATATAATAAATAAAATAATTTATTCGTAATATCCATAGAGTATAATGTAATGTACAATTTGTGAAATTTAAACATAATAAATTGTAATTATTCATTGCACAGCATTTTAACATACTCGTATTATTTAAGTGATGTTTATTTAACACGTAATATGAACACATCAAAATTTTTTAAACCCCTCTAACTTTGTAACGTATATATGCCATTGTATATATGGTATTCCCCTAATTTTGTTCTTATACAGTGTTCACCTAATTCTGTGGCTGAACTTGTTGAGCTATATGTACGTACGGATTTTGAAAATTTGTGGGTATTCATCGACATTTGATGCCGGCTGCACCTTCTATCAAACTCCGTATTATTATCATAAAATATATTTAATAATATTACAAAATATACTGAATAGTAATCAAAGTTGTTAGGTATGGTGAAAATAAACCATTTACCTAGCGACGTTACGTTCCATTAACCTTTCATTGAAGGACACGCAGGCTCTAATTTTTAAAGCTTTCACTAAAATGTACATACATTTAGAATTTTCGTGAGCTCGGCCGTAATGACCTTTTTGCGTACTGGCGCCCAACGTGGGACTACAAGGAAACGTGCCTTTGATGGCTGTTTATGGGTTCTCCTTTGATATTTCATATTCTTATTTACCATTTTAAATGTATCATTACATTTTGTGATACATCAAATAAAATATAGATCCCAACTCACCTCAAAGTGTAAAGTCCATGAGTCGTGTAGCACTGATTTATTCATAACATACAGAATGTTATTGCAGCGTTTTGAAACTGCTCTATTCTCTTCTATAAACAATTTTATAGTGCTTGGTTAACCAATGAAACTGTATTATTTACGCTTTCACATACGAGCTAATCGCGGCGAACTTAGTACGAGATGTTACTTTATAGGAAATATTTATTAATCGGAGATGAATGCACGTCTGTTAAGCGATTGGCACACGTCATACACATGTCGTTATCCACTGCACAAACACTTCACAGTATAAGCGGCAATTCGTGAACACTGTTCGCTCGGTACGATACTATATCGGATAGAAGTACGCGACGACACGACCGTAAGGCGCGGGATCGCGGGCACTACTGAGCTCGCTCCGCGCAAGCCGCAAAGGAACCGTGTCAAAGACTATGACGTTTTTGAGTAGGTAGGTAGAAGTGTCAACATTCGTGTACTACAGTTTATAAGATTTTTCTATAAAGAAAAGGGAACTTCAATCATAATCCGATATAAAGGACTAAACCATGCAGATACCACAAAATTTCTTAACTTTTTTTTATAAAACTTAGAACGGCAAATAGTTGATGGCCCATCTGATATAAAGTGGTAACTATCGCCTATAGACATGAGCAGTACCATGGACAAAACAGAGTATACTGTTTCGTCCATGATACCCCCATGCGTTGCCATTCCTGAGGACTCAGATATTATTCCTCTGTACCCTCTAAATTCACGCTATTTAACGCCAAATTAACTTACATTTTAACAGAATTAGGATGGGTAAAAATTTTATCGAATTCAAAAAATAATTACAAAAATCTGTTAATATTTAACAAAATATTTTGTAACAAAAAAAATCAGCTATTTTAAAACTTAATCAATTCAAAATCGCTTAAAAATTTATATTATTTGCTCATAATAATTTTATATACATAACAAGACATATCATATATCAAGTTGTAATGTCAGTTGTACCAATATAATATGAGTATATATATAGTATATGTATTTGAAATGTATCTGTAGGATTGAGAAGACTCTTTTCAATTTGATATACCTTTATTTAGTAGGCATTTTATTGTATTATAAAGTCTTTATTGTACATTATTTAGTATTTTTTATCCTAATACGATTGACCTGTCATTTTAGAATTATAAATACTATAATTTTATCATTATCATCGTCATCGCTATCATATCAGACGTTAACTATCCACTGCTGAACATACGCCTCCCCTTTGGAATAGTTCTCTTTTTTTTTTTGAAAAATATAATGCGGGAACGAATTATACCTGCACGTCCAGTGCTGTGCAATTCGGTGCTTGCCAAACAATCAATATAAGAATTATTGAAGTTTAATTTTCATATTTTAATAATAATAATGCTTACCTTTTAGACTTTAAAAGGAAGAGGAAGACCGAGGATTAACTACATGGGACAGATAAAAGAAACACTAAGTGTCATGTCGTATAGGGAGGTCAAGGATATGGCCTGGGATAGAGCTGGCTGGAAGAAGATGCATGAATTAGTTGCACCGACAAGAGGAAACTCTTAAATGAAAAGAAGACCTTTTAGACATCTCCATACCAAACACTGAAAAGCTGAGACAGAAACATAAAGAGAAGATTCAGAAATACTTACCTCTTTACGAAGAAATAAAAGATATGTGGCACCAAAAGAACATTGATATAATACCGATTATCATATCTTCTACTGGCATTATCCCAAAATCTCTACCTAACCCACTAAACAAACTGCGCCTTTATAAAACATTCTTCATTGAACTCCAAAAATCAATAGTGCTCAATTAGTTAAGAAATTTTTAAATAGTTCCATTGCTAACATTCCCACTGAATAAAATAAAATATGAGAACAAGTGACTTGATAATAAACCCGTCCTTGTCTCTAAACAATCAGCTATAAACTGAGAAATAATACATGTACATAATAATAACAATAATAATTCCTTAACGAAGCAAAACGCCAAACACATTCATAATCTTATTATTTTTTTTAATTTGGAATTCCAGAAATAATTATTGTCATCTATAAACAATACAGCAATTAACTTGGACATTTCGTGAACGTTAACGAATTAATTAAATCTGAAACAATTAATTCTTGATAATTAAAATGTATGTCAATACAAATCGTAGGAATGAAACGGAAATATAATACCAGAGGGAGACTTCGTACAAAAGTTGTTTGCTTGGGCACCTCTGTCCTATCCGTGTTTCTACCGTGAAGCAGTTGTGTTTACATGGTTGTGTTTCGATTTGAAGAGTGGGATATTGCAGTGAATTTACAAGATACAAAGGAATAACATCTGAGTCCTCAGGATTGGCAACGCATGGGGGGTATCATGGGCGAAACAGTATACTCTGTTATGTGCATAGTACTGCTCACGTCTATAGGTGACGGTTACCACTTTCCATCAGGTAAGCTGATAGCTTGTTTGCCATCCTCAGTTGCATAAAAAAAAACCTTCATAATAATAAAAACTAGCTGTTATGATATATATGTTATAACCGCGACTCTGTCTACGTAGACTTTCAGTGAAACAAATAAATGTGACAATGTCACAGACAAACTCGACTGTCACATTTCACAAATTGTTAACAATTTATCCATACTAACATTATGTAATCTATAGCATTAATATATTTGAGAACAACACAGAAACGAACAGAAATCATTGGCCTCCTTATTTTACTAGTAAAACAAAATATTCTTGACAAAAATATGGATTTAAATAGAAAAAAAAAATTACTCCTTATACTAGCTCGATTACTGAGCAGACTGTAGTATTGAAGACTCAAAATTTTTTGTCATTCCTCCACCTAAATTTCAATTCCACTGGTGGAAACTAGTGGAAACACTTTTCATCCTCACCTATCACCTCTCACTGGTACCCCGCCCGTGTATACCGATAGCGCAGGCGGAGTTACTATGCCAATTATACCTATTAAAAAAAAAAAGTAAACAAAATGGTGATAAAATTAATGTTTTTTTAAGAAAGTCACATCCCTATAAATATTGTAATACCCTTCAATCGCGTTTTAATACCGAATCCTAACTTAAGACGAACAAACAAAATGGTCGACTCAGTCCAACGTCTACCGCGAAACACTGTAAAACGAGTTGCTTTTTTGTGCCTACCTTGATCAAAACGTACCTACTGTGTGAAGAACTCCTGTACCTCTGGATATTGTTTATTGATCGATCCCAAGTATCGCGAGTGATTACGTACATATATATATATATATATATATATATATATATATATATATATATATATTGGTTTTTATAAGTAGACTAAAATAGACCAGTGCAGTTGTGATTTTCACGTGGCATGGATTCCTGAAACCTGATGCATCCTGAGCGTATACCGCCTACGCTAAATCTGCAGTCAAGGTACCATTTTATGACCTACAAACTGCTTTATGGGACTTAGAATTCGAGCCCAGCCTAGGTCTGATATTTCTACTTTCGTTTTTACGTGTGTTAAAATAATTGCCATTTAAATCGACCACTTTTCTTAACAAATGTAAAGCATGAAAATATGCCCTATTTGCACAAAAAAAGTAATTAAAAATGAGTTCAAAATTGATTCATCGTAAATTTAAACTTTTGTCTTTTTAAAGTTTTACACCAATGAAATACAAATGAACTTATGGTAGATATATTTTCATCCGTCCGTCCTTCTACCACAGTGATTTATCTTAGATAATTTTGGATATGATTCAGTGTTAATATTTTTTTTATTTTCTTTTTTAGAGTGGTCCTCTTAACGTTTAAAAATTAAAAAGTAGAAAGAACTTTTGTTGATAAAATATGCGAAAACAATAAATGATAAAAATTATATTAAATTGAATAAACCTATAGGTTTTATAGACTAAACAAATTTACATGCCAACAATACCAACTGTTTATATAATGTGGCAATTCGCAATTAGAGTCACAGCGCTCACAGTCTGTCGCCACGCAAACTTATGGTAGACAAATATTTTTCTTCTTCTAAATCTTTTTTTGATTCGCAATTGTATTAACTCCGACACATCTGCCGCCTCATTCTTTGACTTCACTCACGACATACGTTACTAATCGCACTCACAGATTGACAAATGAAATTTTTATCACTGCACCCTTACACTCGGCCCTAATGATGCTGTGTGCATTACAAAGATATCTCGCGGATACCGTCTAGCACACATACATCTAACGTATATGAGCATCCCCAAACATAAACCGCCCACCAATGAGGATTGAGATAACTACACACACACGCAAAGCTAAATTATAGTGACAGCACACAAGCGAAATTCTCTCGCCTTCAAGTTAAGAGCAAATGTGTAAACGGCAGAGATTGGCGTTTCTTTGACTCTTTACAGTAGTCCGAGGGAGGTCTAAATAGGATGCAAACACAGATAAAGCAGAGTCGAATGAATGAAATATTAGTGTGTCTACGAGGGAACCGGGGGCTACAGACTTGCATAATGTAGTCAAAATGTAGCACGCCGAGCATATTTCTCTTAAAATAGTGTTTATGCAATTTCTAAATGTATTTTTATACTAGATTAAAAGATATATAGAATAGTGCTACACTATTATATGAATTGTCAAGTTGTCGAAGTGAAATACCTGGAGGTTAGTTGTCTTGCTATCAATTGCGTTACGCAAAATTCTTTGATCTGCTATTTTTATTTTATAATAATATTCTCTTTAATTCTTAATTGTCAAAAATCGAAAATTAAATATTGCGCTAATTTAGCCATTTGGAGAGGATGGATGAAAGAAGAATTGCGAAAGAGATTTATCGAGCAAGAATGAATGAAAATATCAGTAGGGGCCGCCCTAAACGGATATAATTATGACGACCAAATAGGCGACATGCTGAAGAAGGACCAAATTAAAAGTACCCGTAGCGAGTATTAAAATATTGATGAATGTGGAAAAAGCAAAAGAGGTTTGTTTGAATCGAAGCATTTGGAGTTCTATTGTTTCTGCCTACCCTAATTAGAGACAGGCGTGACAGATACGTATGTACGTATGTATTGTCTTTAAATATAAATAAAATAAAACTATTCCAAACTGTTCTTAATATAGATAATTTGAACGGTAACTTTCGTAGTGTAATTGGCAAGTTGCTTCGCGTAGATGAGATCTGGGTTTTGTTTGCGTGCCAATATCGGAGATAAACTTTTCTAACTCCCTAACTCGGATCCACAGACAAAAAAGTCACTTCATGCTTACCAAAATATATATCTAGTATAGTCGCTGCCTCACTGAGTTGTTTTAATATTTACTACTACTCAAAATTAGCCACTATTAACCATTTACAATTACAATTTAAG